AAATTATTGACACTGCCTGCGAGTTTTTACAAGATTCAAATGGCGTACGCAGGTCGTGATTGGTCAGTTTCGATCCAGCGGTAATGTTAAGTTTGGTGTAAATGTCATGAAGAAGTTGTTTGTATGGTGCCGGTAATAGTTGACACCTGTTGAGGGGGGTTTGTTCTAAGTTAGTGAACCAGCAGCTTTCCAAAGTCAGTCGTTGAAAATAGTAAGTGCTGTAGGTTTGGCATTGTGCAGAGTCCCTGACTATGATAGCGCGTCGCTCGCCTATGTTCTGTCAGTCTTGTCGTGAAGTTTCTGCCAGTCCCTCCTACGTAGGAGGCTTAACAGTCGCAGTACTCGATCGTATAAACCACTCACACAATCCGTGTCGAAGAGGTGATGTCCATCAAGTTGGAAATATTGGTGCTGAGAAGCTGCAGTGTTTATTTCAAAAAGGCTATTGTATCTGCCCATGGTATCGGGGATGGGATGAATAAAAAAACAAATCTACTGCTACGCCTGTCATTGGATACCATTGGAAAACACAACCTTAAGGAATTTTACAAAAGTATTCCTTTCTTGTGAGCCATGAAATGGACATTCTTTTGAGATAGACATTCCCTACATAGGATGGAACCAATTAGGCTGCAGGACCCAAATCGTTCGAGCTCGCTCCCCTAATAGGTTGATACTGACATTAAATTTCAGAGGTAGGGATTTCATCATCCATTTGAAGTAAGGTAGCATCAGAAACATCGAACGCATGTCGGCTTCAGCATTTTCTCATGTCGTGTGTACTGAGTTATCGAGTTGAACAGCCGGAGAGACGAAGAGAAATTCCATATTCACACGCGCCCGTGTATTGTTATCTATTTATTATTAAAGTAAATTTGCCACGATAAATAGTTTCTAAGCTGAAGTTTAGAGTGTTAGCCCTTCATCAGAGCGAAAAGAAAAATTGCGAGCTGTGTGTGTGTGTTTGCAGAAAATGAGGCTACGTGATTGGCAGGAAAATGGTCACAAGAGAATAAAGATTTCATTTTTCCTTATTTTTCTCGGTGATGATCGTGTGGTCTCATAACCATCGCTGAAGTCGCATGAATTCTAGTTGTTCATCAATAGTGTCAACCAATGCACTCAGAGAATTCCTTTTTTTATTTTTATTGCCACTTAGTACAGTTTGCAAATACAATCTTCCTAGGTACTAAAAAATTAAGGACGACTCCACTTGATAGATGCCAGGTGGCTTTCTCACTCTGGAAATAGAAAATAATTTTTCATCAATTTGACTATATTCTCGCTGTTATTCATTATGCATTCCCTGTGCTTTCTTCACTAACTCTGCTATATATGTGAATGAAAGTGATCCTCGCAGTAATGTGCACTACTTAGGCAGTAGTGAAAATAAGGCCAGAAAAAATTCAGGCCTGTACGGGATTTGAACCCATGACCTCTGCGATACTGGTGCAGCGCTCTACCACCTGAGCTAACAAGCCAACTGGGAGCTGGTCATGATGTTGGGTCTAAATAAACCCGTGAAGTGATGAAATAAACGGTTAAGAATATATGAAAGTCATATATTTGAACTGGGGATAAAGTTCAAATATATGACTTTCATATATTCTTAACGTCTTTATATATATATGCTATATATTTGATCAATGCTTAACTCACAGGAGAGAAGTAAATTTTACTTCCTATGGTTATTTCTACAGCAAACATTTGAAAAAAGAACATTTACTAAAAGAAGCAATTTTTATCATCCAGCTGAAGTTACCTGAAGTAATATTCAAGAAAATGTAAAGCAGAGTTTCATTGTAATCTCTATGAATGAAGTCTCTTAAATCGTGTGTCAAAAAAAATTTTTTCATCTTTGGAAAAATTAGCTAACTCGAAACCATTGATTTTCATTAAAAAATATATTTTTTCTTGTTTTACATGTCACCTTACCAGTACAAGATTTCGATTTGATTTCTTCGATCGTTTCTTTAAGTTTGTCGAAGTCCTCCACCTGCACTACGTTACTTCCACCTGCGATCTGCTTCAGGCTTTTTACATTTATCGTCTTACCAATTCCCACGGCCAATGTGCTAACGTTCTTTTTCTGTTGTAGATAGGTAGGTAGAAATAAAATGATATCAGGAGCCAGCTGATATAGGAGAGTGAGGTATTTACGTCATAACTTGAATGAGGGGCAAGGAAAATTGACCAACGAATAGACAAACTTACTCCCTCAATAAATTACAAACAAACGGGCAGATAGACCTTTAGCTGAACAAATGATGTAAATTCTAAACTGATATGATGTTACTTTTTCAAACACCGTCATAAAATAAATTTTTATACGAGCTGTATAATGAAGTACCACCTTTTTAAATTATCAGCACGCTAATTGGTGCCACAAAAAGAGAAAAAAAGGTTAAAAAACATATGGCATGTCAATGAAACCTGAATGGGAACACTCACTTTAAATTCTTTTTCTATATTCGCAGCAAATGCATCGAAACTGAAACTTTTCCCAGGATGTGTTGGCATTCCATCTGTCAATACAATCATGACATTTGGTTTGTCTGGTCTGTCTCCCCCTGCCTTGGTAAACAGCGAGTCTAATGCCAATTTTAAAGCCAGATCGGTGCGAGTATGCAGACGCAGTCTAATTGGCTCATCGGCTATTCTCTTCACGAGAGCTTCCTTGTCATGGTATTTTGAATCCGCAAAGGTAAACGCCAGTTCCGCTCGCTTGTTAAACGTGATGAGACCGAAGTGGTCTTCTTCTGGTGACGGGTGAAATTTCTTCACAAGTTCACACAAGAAGGTGATAACCTTTCTCAGATTAGCTTTTCTGACACTCACGGATTTGTCGAGTACAATTCCAATGTCGAGTCCAGCTGTGCATGGAGGAGCTGTGGAGGAGTAAAATCTTGGTGATGTACAAAAGGAATCAATTAAACTGCTATGGTTACTCTAACTCTCTATCTATTGTTAGGCTATAATTCTTTTCAATTTATTCCCTTTTTTCCCACTTTCCCAGTCTGGCACTATGTCCGAGAAACTAAGCAAGAGTTCTGTTTTTACACTTAGCTGTACTGCGTCTTTCAATTTACTATTACCAAATAATCGGTCCGAGAAAATTAATTGGATTGCAACGTCTTAAACATAACGTTAATCAATGACAGTGTTTTTTTCTCATTGGGTTTCGCAAATAAAACCAGAAGGTTGCGAGTTTGGAGAGAGACGTGAAAGAGATCAAGCAGATTTCTGGTATCTCTTTGATAAGCTCTGAAAATAAACAAGTAGAAAACAGTAATTGATTCTGTCTTCGCCCAAACTGCTTCTGCAAGTCTTACGATGGTTTATATACTCACGACATATTGCTTCATTGCATCGAACTGTCTTTTCAGCAGGTCCCAGTTCACTGCAGTCCTTTCCACCGTTAGATGGCGGAGGATTGGTACAAGTTCTTGTCAGATTTTTTGTCCCTCCTCCACATGTCACACTGCACTCAGACTCAGAAAACTCAGTGTAACCACCATCGATTGCTACACGAACAAACAAAATTGGTCACTTTAATTGTGTTTATTTACTTCGGTTATAGCATATGGAACAGGGAAACAAAATTTTTTCATCTAAATAAACTGCTCTAACCATAGGTGACTCAAAGTGACACTAAAGATACTTACGGCATTCTGCTTCGTTGCATGAAACTGTCTTTTCAGCTGGTCCCAGTTCACTGCAGTCCTTGCCACCATTAGATGGCGGAGGATTGGTACAAGTTCTTGTTAGATTTTTTGTCCCTCCTCCACATGTCACACTACACTCAGACTCAGAAAACTCAGTGTATCCACCATCAATTGCTACGAGAAATAAAACAACAACAGCAACAAAAAACAAAGGCTGTTAGTTCAGTTTATACCTTTGCTGAAGTTCTAACATGTGAAACATTTACACAGAAACTTCTCTACATCTAATCAAACTGCTCAACCATAGGAGACTTAAAATGACGGTTAAAATACTTACGGCATTCTCCTTCGTTACATGGAATTGTCGTTAAATCTGGCCCCAGCTCACTGCAGTTCTTTCCACCGCAAGATGGCGGAGGATTGGTGCAGGTTCTTGTAAGTATTTTTGTTCCTTCTCCACATGTCACACTGCACTCAGACTCCGACCACTCAGTGTATCCACCATCAATTGCTACAAGAAATAAAACAACAACAACAACAACAAAAAAAAGCTGTTAGTTCAGTTTTACTCCTTTGCCAAAGTTCTAACACGTGAAACATTTACATAGAAACTTCTTTACATCTAATCAAATCGCTCAGCTATAGGAGACTCAAAATGACGCGTAAATACTTACGGCATTCTCCTTCGTTACATGGAATTGTCATAAAATCTGGCCCCAGCTCACTGCAGTTCTTTCCACC